AAGAGAGTAAGAGCCTCACTGACTAATTGAATTCATCACTAAACGCTTTCTGTAGCTGAACGACGACGACCGACAGAAAAACATACGGGGGGCGAAAGACGCACTCGCACGTCGGATTCAAGACGACTGTACCGGGAACCTGGCGGACATTAAAGGGATGAGGTTGGGTACGGTAGTAGTGATTAACTTCCGTCATCATTCCTTTAAATGATCGCCATGGTCACCGAAATGCTGTGGTTGCTGTTGACGATGATGATGATGATGAAAATGTGATGAGAGAACTAAGAACTCGAGAGAGAGCGGCTTCGAATTTATACAAGGAACACCAGATCAAACACACAGGCGACAATGACGAATTCAATCCGAGTCGGGGAATGGACCGGCCAGCACCTTCTTGATGAAATCTGAAACGAAATCACGTTATTGGCGAGATTTGAACGCATGGTGCAAAGGCTAACACAAACAGTCTCAATGGCACGGTTCGTAGTTCAAATCCCAGCCCCTCCTACACATGTTTTCCCGGGAAACCCGAGGTGTAAAAATCAATTGAAGATAATCAGGGCCCTGTTAGGCGTTGGTTTGAGGATGAACGGGTAAACTTTTAATTTTGATCAATCTCTCTTTCGGGCTGCGCCACTTATCTTGCGCCTATTCAAAGGCTTAGATGCATTTGGGTGCTAGTGAGCATAGACAATAAACTGCGAGGGCCAGTCGATGCATAACATAGAATTTTCTCCCCGCCAGATTAGTCCGGTATCAACCAACCGCGATCTTGCAGGGATGGAAAGCTTGAGGTTCAACCCAGGATTTGGCCTCCTCCTCTGCTCACGGTACCTGGCCGATTTTCGTTACACGACCCTGCCTCAAATGTTGGATGGGGCGAGTAACCATCCAAACGTCGAAATTTTGGAATGGAGCTCCTAAGCGTGGCGCATCTCAGAGCGCAGCCAAAAACCAATAATTCGCTCATTCTTCAAAGATCTGATCGTAGAAGAGATTCATTGGCCCGGGGCTCACTTCCTACAACCGATCCCTCGGAAATCCCTGAGTCTCAGCTCGATTCCTGGACATTGAACGAGGCCTAACGGGACGGTGTAATACCCACCACGTCCGATCGAGCACCCCCACACCACATTCCAAGCAACTGTTAGGGCAAAAAACAACACGTTGCTAGTGATAGTTTGTCAGTTTCATAGATAAACTCTGAAAAGAATAAGAGACAACTAAACTGACCCTCGTATTTGACCAAACCCTCAGCGTCTTCAACTCCCTTCAGCAGCTCATCGACCTGAATTCAGCAATTTTAAAACCTTGGTTTAAAAAAAAGGTCTGGGGAGTGGCAGCGAAATCTAACCTCGTCAGCACTGAGTCGTTCTCCGAGAGCAAGAAGAATGTGTCTGAGTTCTGCACAAAGGATCTTTCCACATTCCTCTTTGTCGAACACCTTCAAGCCTTCAACGAAATCAGCGTACGTGCCCTGCTCCTGCAACGAGTGGATTTTCATTGAATTAATAAACTCATAAAAATCCTCTGCGGACAATTCGAAGGAATTGCACACTTTTCTTTTTGGACCTGGAGATTTTACAAATCCTAGCATTTCAAAAAAAAGTTCATTTTGTTTAATTTGCTCAATATTCCCCCAACCGGCAGTGCATACAAGCAAGTTGTGGCCTGGAGACTTCGTAAAAAGGAGTTTCACCACCTTCGAAACCTGACAGCTGGTTGATTCCGTCTCAGGATCCTCAAACTCCTTCACTAATATGGAGGCCCTTTTATAGGAATATATGTAACAGCTCTCGGCCACATAAATAACCTTCGCAAGTTTAAACAAGATTCATCAATGCGGAAGTTCAGAATCTTTCTTCGAAGAGATTTGTTAGCCCTTTCCACGTTGCCGAACAGCCGCGTCTCTCTGCTATACTCACTAAAATCTGATCTTTTGCTACGGGCCGATGCCCTTGTCAATTGAAAAAAAGCTGAAGTAATGGGAATTGATAAATTACAGGATTATTTGGGATGTTTGGTTAAGTGGTAGCGTAAATTCCCATTGTGATTGAATCCATTTAGCCTTGCT